GGCAGAGAGTGCGGGGGAGAGTCCTGCCTGCAAAGACCAGTGCCTGCTCAACAGTGAGAGAAAAGGCCTCACGTGATGGATGTGGAAGGACAGTTGCCAAAGCCACTGCCATACCTGGCCCAGGACCCAACCCGTCTCCCTTGAGAGCGCTAGGCTCTTGTCTGTGCGCTCCGTTGGCAGTGCAGGAAGCTTGTAATTAGGCAGGGGAACACATTAACCAATTTTCAATTAAAACCTTATCTGAGGGCTGGCCGAGTGGCGCGTTGGTTAAGAGCTGGCTTGGGACGCCAGAGGGCCCCGGTTCAGATCCCACATATGAGGGCCAGTGACGCTGCCTCCTCCACAACTAGACTGAAGAACAAAAGGACAGCAACTTGTCTGTTCCCCTTCCCCCAATTCCCCAGCGCGGTTCCCATCCTCCAATTCCCCAATAAAAATCTTTAAAAAAACCAAAACCAAAAAAAAACCCTTATCTGAGGGGTGCATAGATGTAAAAGTGGGGAGGCTTGATTCTTTTCTAAGCCTGCCTTCAATATCTGCAGTGCCTGGAGATGCAGGGAGGGTGCCCAGGCAGCCCTGGAGTCATCTAAATTCTGCTTATAATTACATGACTTTTGACACGAGAAGCCAATAAAATAATTGCGAGGCACACAAATTAACAGCAGGTTGGCATTCCCAAGAAGGTGCTTGGACAGCCAGGACACAGGGAGGGGGCTGCTGTGTCTCTCTATGATTTGGGGGCATCCAGGCTGCCAATGCAGACCTCTCCTCAATCTCTCAGCAAAGATCCATGCTATCCAGGTCCTCAGACCTGCCAGCTCATCTCTCTGGGATCCTTAAGCTCTGGGTCAAGGAGGGTAGGGCTGTGGAGCTACAAACAGCAAATGTCAGGCTGTAGGAGCTGAGGAGAGTCTGGTCTCTTTCTTTGCTCCCAACAATAGGCTAGACCAGGGGTCAGCAAACTTTTGAGACGGAAGAACTGCCAGGGGTCAGCAAACTGCGGCTTGCGAGCCGAGCCGCAGGATCTGCAGTAAAATTGAAAATGAAAATAGAACTATCACAGTTTCATTTATAAAAATGTTAAAGGATATAATTCACATAATGATGCTTATATAAGAATATATTTATGGCTCTCGAATAATTTTTCAATTGTTGTGAGGGACAGAATTGGCTCTTCCAGGGGTTGACAAACTTTTGAGACGGAACGTATCCAAAGAGCCGCATGTGGCTCGCGAGCCACAGTTTGCCGACTCCCCGGCTAGACACCCTGAGCTGCTTCCTTCTCATTCACTCAGAAGGGAAGGCATGTGCCAGTCCAAAGTGTTTGGGGCTTAGATTCAATCAGGTGATGGCGCCGCCTCTCAGAGCCCGTTTCATCAAAGGTAAAACAGGGATGGATGGTGGATGGCCCAAGGAAGGGGGCAGCAAGAAAGCCCAAAGCCCTCACAGATGATGCTTAGTGAAGTACACACTCCCATTGCACCCCACAGCCATCTATAGTTTAGGTAGTAAACTTGTCAAGGTCAGGAACTTCAACTTCCTAACCTCTCTGTTGTTTCAATGTCCCCCTGCATTGGCCTCTCTGCAGGAGCAGATATTCGATAAAATAAATATTTGTTAAATTGAACAGAGTGGAGGAAGATAGTGGATGAAGAATTCTAATGGCACTTTGATGGGGGCAGAGTAACATAAAACATCTCCTGGGAATCAGAAGAACTGGGTTTGAACTCCAACTTTGCCATTTACTACCAGGGAGACCATGGCTGAGCCAGCAGCTGTTTCCTCATCTGTGAAGCGCACGTGCTGGCCAGATCTACAAGATGCCTCTGACTCTTGAGACAGTGTGACAGGGAGTGGGATCTGGGAACCATTCTGGGAAAATGCCATCAAGGGTTTCTGGCACGGACTGGGTTGGTCATCATCACATTACTCAGCACTCAGTATGATGTTTGGGATAAGCCAAAATCAAATAATAGTAATAATGATGTTTCCATAAACATCCACAGGCAACTCATTGTCAAGAAATGCTGTTTATCACTTCTGTGAAGAGTTTCTGTCAAGTTGAAGCGGTCTGCCCTCTGCCTCTACCCTCACTCACCTCAGCCCCAACCCATTCCCACCACTTTCTTGATTACCCTTCCACCTGTGGTTCCAGCAAAAACTGGAAGAACTCTGAAACCTAAACAACTAATTCAGTTCAATTCTAATCAGCAAACAACTATTGGAAGCCTACTACATGACAGAGTTTATGCTAAACACCAGGCTGAGGCCAATCATCAACTTTGGTATTTAGGAGAGAAACGATTAATTTCAATAGTGGGAAAAGAAGAGAGTGGATATGAGAAGTCTCTGTGCAAGGAGCAAAATTCAGCCTTGAGCCAGCGCACATGAAAGTAAAGACATCCTGGGCACAAAGAACAATGACGACAAAGGCAAGAAGTGTGCGGTGTGGCTGGAGGTCTGGGAATTTGTGGAAGGGCATGGTTTTGAGGATTAAAGGTGATAATCTCCCTAAACGCCCTCGCAAGCTACATGTGCCTGGCAACTATACTGGTAAGGTGCTGCATTTTTATTGTTTAAGGAAGGTAAGAAAGAATAGGCAGGCTGGGATCCGAGTGTGGCAGGCTTTTGAATGCCGTTCACTATTATTCAACCACTCCACACTTAATGTGCATTTTCCTTACTGTGTGGCACACACTGCGCTGGAGGTTGGAGGCAGGAAGTGGGATCCCACAAGTCTCCTCTCAAGGAAACGGAACACGGAGTACAGACTTGAACGCAGAATGCAACACGGGCTTATAGGGACTATGATATAAGTATGAAAGGGATATAAGGGACACACAGAGAAAGAAATGGTCGATTTGGCCTCGGGGTGGGGGCTGGTAGTCTGGAAGTCTTCACAGAGGAGATATCACTAAGATTTGAAAAAAGGAAGGTGTTCATTAAGCAGATAAGAGGAGTGTTGGGATAGGGGTGGATAAGTTCCCCTAGGCAGAATATAAATGTGAGCAAAGGCTCGCAGTCACGGATTTTTGGTGGGCTGTGGTATCTGCAAGGTTCTGATTAAATAGAAAGAGGGAGAAAGACCAGAAATGGGGAAAGGGAGGTAAGCTGCAGTCAGGTTATGTAGAGTTTTGCATGCTGGGTCCAGACTTTGGATTTTATCACAGTGGTTAAGAGAAGTGAATGAAGAATTAGATAGGCTGCTCTGCCAGTCACTGGGGGAGGAGGGGCACAGCAGGGGAGCTGCAGCCCTGCTCCTGAGAGAAGTTATAAGGACTTAAAATAAAGACAGTGGATAAAGAGAAATGGAGTCGGTATGAAATAGATGGAGGAGGTAGAATCAACAGGATTGAATGGTTTGGAGAATGTGGAAGCTGAGGGGAAGGGGAACATTTTCAGTTTGGGTAACCAGACAGTGGGTGAAGGCGAGGTTGGGAATTCTGGAGAAGGAGCGTGTGGTGGATGGGGTGGCCCGGCAACCAAGCCAAGGACATTCTGAGGAGTAGAGACTTTATCCTGTAAATAACGGGAGCCACTGATGGGTAGATTTTTGAAGAATGACTCTTGCACCCATCCCAGAGAAAGAGCAAGAGAGGAGAATAAGTTAGGGGCAGGGAGAGAGCGGGAGGGAAAAGAGAGTGCATGTCCCATTTGCTGTGTCCCTCCAAAGAGGAGATAACCCCAAGTCAAGTGCAGCGACAGGTATTCTAGCGTTGGTGGTGGTGTGGCTGTGTGTTGGTTGTCGGTAATGTTGACAGTCATGAGGATTAAATAAGATATACACATAGTAAGTGCTTTAAAATATTCGCCATTGTTACATTGTTATTATTTCACTAATGTCAACTCTGTCATCTATAGATACTTGTTGCGTAACCATGAACTATTAATAATAATAATAACAACAGCTTATCATCTGTGATTGTATATGACAAAAGCTGGGAAGAGGAACTGAGAGTCCGCACTCTCGAGACTTCAGGAAAGGTGATGGGAAGGAGAGGACGCCCTTCTAGGCAGAGGGAACAACAGGAGCACAGACATAGAGGCAGGAGGACAGCGAAGGCATTGAGTGTAAGTGTGAGTGTGGGCACATCTTACAGCCCCACTGGGCTGTCTGTGTGGTGCTTGGCCTCCACTCACCAGGGTCCTCCCCATATCCACATTCAGGCTGGCTGAGGGTACTCTAGACAACACTAAAGGCTGAGGAGAGGGCCTTTGTTCTGAGCAATAGTAAGCAGATGTTCTTTCTCCCCAGTAAACTTTATGATAAGCCGGAGAAAGGGAGGGTGGACATGAAGGAGGACTTCCTGCTGTCAAGTTTTCAGGAATCAAGAAAAGAATTGGAAAAGTGTTCCTAGTGAGACCAGGGAAGGGTCAAATGGACAGCGGCTATCTGACTGCACTCTTCAGGATCATGAAATGATTAGAGCTGAAAGAGACCCACATGAGATGGTCTAATCCAGATGAAAAAATCTGGGTCCTAAAGAGGTGAACTGAGTTCCCCAAAGTCACAGCAAAGTCAGAAACATAACTGTCTGGACTTCTAATCAGGTGCCATCTCGCCCAACCCCACCCCAGTTCCCTGTCATTATAAAGGTCCCCAAACATGGAATATTCTGTACTCTAGTGCTGAGTGGCCTCTAAAGATTAAGTGACTCCTGCGTGTATGTTAGCTGCCATGTCCTCCATCTGATGTCCCTGAATCCTTGCAGAACCCTGGGATGGAGGGGATTGGGTTTGATCCTCTGTCCTCGCCAGGAGGCTGCTGGTGTGGGCTACTGCTGCAGCCTGAGGTATTGTACGCATCAGAGGTGTAGCAGTCCCCAGAACCCAGGTATTCCTGGCCAAATGTTATAGAGGCGCCACCCCCCCCCCCAACACACACACACACACACCCCTCTCTCCTCCAGCCTCCACCTCCAGGTACTGATTTTTGGCTTTAAACCTGAAAAACTGCCAAGTCCTTGGTCTTCACCCAGGGATTTCCAGGAACTGCTCACCAATACTTGAGACTAGCTGAGTCCATAAAAGCTGTGGCTCCGGCTCACGAAGCTGCCGGGACTGCTGTGACGTGGGCATCATCAGCTTCATTTCCTTAATCCTTCTGCCCACCGACGCCGCTCCTTCCTCACCCTCATTTCATTCGGGCATTCACCCCAGACGCTTTCCTCTGCCTCACCTCATACCAGGTGCCACGGCACATCCCTCCTAAATGTCTCGATTCTGTCCGTCCCTCTCCACACGGACTCCCTTGATTGAAGGCTTCGTCACCGCTCCTCTGGACTAGGACAATAACTTCCTAATCGCTTTCCCCGCCTCCAGCTTGCGCCTCTTAAGTCCATTCTCCACACAGTTGCCAGAATGACCTTTCTAAAACACAAGTCTAACATCATCACCCCGTGGAAAAAAAAAACCCTTCAATGGTTCCCCAACGGCTTCAGATGAAATTCAAATTAGGTTAGGTCGGGTCCAACCTAGCTGCTGTACATCTCTTTAGCATCATCTTCTGTTCTCTTCAACATGCGCTGCACCTTCCAGAAATCCGAGAGTCAGAGGTAGCTGCACACTCCAAGCTGCATCCTACCTTAGTATCGACTTCGGCATGCTCCCCTCTCCCGTCACTCGGCTCATTCCTCTCCTTCCTTTAATACTCTGTTCAGACTTAGTGCCTCAGGGGCCTTCCTTAAACCCCAGCCTGAATGTGGATATGCGGAGGACCCTGGTGAGTGGAGGCCAAGCACCACACAGACAGCCCAGTGGGGCTGTAAGATGTGCCCACACTCACACTTACACTCAATGCCTTCGCTGTCCTCCTGCCTCTATGTCTGTGCTCCTGTTGTTCCCTCTGCCTAGAAGGGCGTCCTCTCCTTCCCATCACCTTTCCTGAAGTCTCGAGAGTGCGGACTCTCAGTTCCTCTTCCCAGCTTTTGTCATATACAATCACAGATGATAAGCTGTTGTTATTATTATTATTAATAGTTCATGGTTACGCAACAAGTATCTATAGATGACAGAGTTGACATTAGTGAAATAATAACAATGTAACAATGGCGAATATTTTAAAGCACTTACTATGTGTATATCTTATTTAATCCTCATGACTGTCAACATTACCGACAACCAACACACAGCCACACCACCACCAACGCTAGAATACCTGTCGCTGCACTTGACTTGGGGTTATCTCCTCTTTGGAGGGACACAGCAAATGGGACATGCACTCTCTTTTCCCTCCCGCTCTCTCCCTGCCCCTAACTTATTCTCCTCTCTTGCTCTTTCTCTGGGATGGGTGCAAGAGTCATTCTTCAAAAATCTACCCATCAGTGGCTCCCGTTATTTACAGGATAAAGTCTCTACTCCTCAGAATGTCCTTGGCTTGGTTGCCGGGCCACCCCATCCACCACACGCTCCTTCTCCAGAATTCCCAACCTCGCCTTCACCCACTGTCTGGTTACCCAAACTGAAAATGTTCCCCTTCCCCTCAGCTTCCACATTCTCCAAACCATTCAATCCTGTTGATTCTACCTCCTCCATCTATTTCATACCGACTCCATTTCTCTTTATCCACTGTCTTTATTTTAAGTCCTTATCACTTCTGGGAAGCACTGTGGAGCTATAAGCTTCTTGAGGACAGATGCTGTTTTTAACTCATCCTTATGTTTATCAAGGATGTCTGGCTCTTAGACTCTCAACTAACATTTGTTGTATTAACTGAACCCAAAAGTTGACTTTTTCCTCCTTTTCCACCTCCCACACCTCCTTGTCCTACAAACATTTTATTCATTCTGCCTCCTCACTGGCTAATCCAAGTTTTTCTTCTTTTCCAATGCAACCCAAAGGTCTCCTCTTCCAGGAAGCCTTTCCTGATAAGCCCCACCTGACTGCTTCTCTTGATATCCCCAAGCTCAGTCTGTACTACACCCCTTAGCATCTCTACCTTACTTTTTACTTCTCTCTTAAAAGTAAGCTCTACTATGAAATTAGACTGCTCATTTTACTCAAAACCGTTAAATGCTTTGTATTCTCTGGTCAATGTCATACTATTTCCTACCCTTGCAATTCCTCCTCCAGCTGTGGGGACAAGGACTTTGCCTCCCACCTGTAGCAGCACCCAGCCCACTTTTTTTTACTGTAATACAAGGTTTGCCAATTAAATTCACAAACTTGCCACCACGCGCTTACATTGGTAAGTGCTTATAGCTCGGTAAGGTCTCATAACCTTGGTATATCAGTGTCTCACAGACGTGTTCATGTCGACGTGTGGCGGTGTCTTGCTGAGTGGCGTTCATTATTGTTGTCTGAGCTTCAATTAGAGCAACGAACATTCAGTTTCTTGTTAAACTTGGCAACAGTGGAAATGAAATCAGGGATATGTTCGTCCAAGCTTATGAGGATAATGCCAGGAAGAAAATGGCAGTGTACAAATGGATTAAATGTTTCTCTGAAGGGAGAGAACGCGTCACTGATGAAGAGAGTTTAGGGCAGCCAGTAATGAGGTGAACTGACAAAAACATTGCAAAAATTAGTCAAATTGTGTGTCAAAATTGTCGGCTGACTGTGAGAAGCATAGCAGACCAAGTAAACATCAATAGAGAAAGTTAGGAAAATCTTAACTGAAAATCTTGGCATGAGAAAGGTGTGTGCAAAAATGGTCCTGAAGGAGCTCACCAATGAACAAAAGCAAAGGAGAGTCGGAGTTTGCCAAGACCTTTTGGAGAGGCAAGACAATGTTTTGGGCCATGTTATCACTGGTAATGAAACATGGGTGTACAAATAGGACCCTGAAACAAAGTGTCAAAGTGCACAATGGAAGTCAGCCAATTCTCCACGACCAAAAAAAGTTCTGTCAGTCCAAACCAAGAGTCAAAACGATATTGCTAAGCTTTTTTGATATCAGAGGGATTATTTATTATGAATTTGTACCAACTGAACAAGCAGTTAACCAAGTTTACTATTTGGAAGTGCTGAAAAGACTGCATGAAAAAGTTACACGAAAACGACCTAAACTTTTTGCCAACAATTCATGGCTCTTGCATCACGACAGTGCACCAGCTCACACGGCACTGTCTGTGAGGGAATATTTAGCCAGTAAACAAATAACTGTATTGGAACACCCTCCCTACTCACCTGATCTGGCCCCCAATGACTTCTTTCTGTACCCAAAGATAAACGAAATATTGAAAGGAAGACATTTTGATGATATTCAGGACACCAAGGGTAATATAGTGACAACTCTAATGGCCATTCCAGTAAAAGAGTTCCAAAATTGCTTTGAAACGTGGACTAGGGGCAGGCATCGGTGCATAACTTCCTAAGGGGAGTATTTTGAAGGTGACTGTAGTGATGTTCAACAACGAGGTATGTAGCACTTTTTCTAGGATAAGTTCGTGAACTTAACTGTCAGATTTTGTAGGTGTTCAGCTGTGGTTGTTAAGGGCCTGCATTGAACTGTTGATTTATACGTTTTATGTTTTTTTTTTGTGTGCGTACAAAGTATATGTTCCCTTTCCCTTTCTGAGGTGTCTCACTTCACCTCCCTGTGTCCCAATTTGGATTACATCTCTGAGTCTCTTTCTGCTTTGATGTTCTGTGCTTCTGTATCTGAGTTCACTGAGAGCAGGAACTATGTCTATGTCTTCCCCCATAGCTTCAGCACACAGGAGGCTCAAAATAATTATGCTAAGTGAAAAGCCTTTACTAGTCTTTGTTTTTCTCTCCTTTTTCCTCTTAAGGGAGGCAGGAGAGCATAGCAGTTAAACATGTCAACACAATAGCCAGCTCGGCTCCTCAACCTGGGGTGATGTGCTTTACTTCACTTCTCTGTAAAGCAGAGTTTCCTCATTTGTAAAATGGAGCTAATATTAGTATTTCATCATAGATAAGATAGTAAGCCAGAGGTTAAGTTTTTATTATTATTACCCTATTCTTCTTCCTTCCTCCCTTTCTTTATTTACAGTTTTGGGATACATCCCCCTCTTTAATATTTTGGACTCAATAGGTCTCATCAACATCAGAGGAACCCAAGGACTGCTGGTCCACAAAGTCCAAGGAATCCCAGCTTTTTTGTTTTTAAAGAAATTTTATTAGGGTATAGTGTGTTTTTCCAGGACTCATCAGCTCCAAGTCAAGTAGTTGTCTTCCATCTAGTTGTGGAGGGTGCAGCTCCTTAGCCCATGTGGGAATCGAACTGGCAAACTTGGTGTTATGAGCCTGCACTCGAACAACCTGAGCTACCCGGCCGCCTCCAAGGAATCCCAGTTTTAAGCCACTCTCGGGTTTCAGAGATATGTAAGTAAGAGAATGTGTCAAGAAAAAGGGGAGGGTTGGGGCCAGAGGGGGAGGAACAGAAGAGAAAGTCTCAGGCAGAGGACAGGAAATTGTCTGTCTTAATCAGAGCAGATTAAAGTGTGGGAACCAGACTGAGGACAGCTCCAGTAAATCAGGGAGGGGCACAGGCTATGAAACATTTCATAAGAGACCCAAACCATGGCCCCAAAGCACTTTTGTGCATGGGTCAGAGCAGGTTATAATCAGTGTGGCTGAGTGCTTGGCAGCTCTGGGGAGGGTGTGCACATAGGCCTGGGACTCATGCACTTAATTCTGGCCTAGCTCCGTCTTTATAATAATTATGTGACCTTAGGCAAGGCTCACTGCTCTGAGCCTCAGTTAACCCAACTATAAAACAGGGATAACAGAACGATGTTGGCAGGGCTGTTGTGAGGATTAAATGTGCTCTGTATATGATAAAGCACCACCCATCTATCAGCCATCATGTTTATTAAGGCTGTATCTACATGGTCTAGTCATCCAGAAAATGTACCTGATAACTGAGGTTCAAGTACCTTTTAAGCCTCATTTATTTAGGCCAAATAGCTTCCCAGTTATCAGAAGGTGGAATACCCTCAGTGGACATTTCTGGCTCCTCTCCCCAGCCTGACCTTTCCCTGAACCCCATTCCCCTCCCTAGTCAGACACAGAGGCCCTTGTCACCTCTTTCCACACGGTACTAACAATTTTTGTCTCTGGAGCGCTCCTCCACTAGCCAGAAGGAGCTGAGCATTTATCCTGACTTTATCCTTGGTACCTACGCCAGTGCTGGTCAGGCACTCAGTGTAAATTTTTTGAAATAGTAAATAAATGGATGCATGAAGTTCTTATTTAGGTCATACTACAATCCTCTTCTTTGTAGCTTCTAACGTTGGCCCTAGCTCTTCTCTCTGGAGTCACATGAAATAATCTAACTCTCTTCCATATCAGTACTTTAAACATATGAGGAGAGTTATGACATGCCGAAATAATTCCAGAGATGGACCCGTGGCCAAAAAAAGGACCTGCTGTAATAAATAATAAATTCCTAACTGGGCAGGCCTAAAACTTCTTTTAGTGAAAGGATTTTAAGCAAGCCCCATCTATTGTTATTATGCATCTGAGTTAACACACCTTTGTAGTGCCAGAATACCAGAATA